CTCGTGTCACCCCCACCTGGCTGACTGTTCCTCTGTCTGGCTTTCTGGCTTTTAATCCCCTTTCTCCTACTCTTCTGGCCTGCTTCTTCGGGTGTCCCTGAGTTGTCTCTCCTCACCTGTATCCCTGGGGCTGACTGCTCTTCTGTCCAGGTTCAAGGCTTTTATCCCCTTCCCTGCTCTTCCAGCCTGCTACTCTTGCGTCCCTGTATTGTCTCTCCTCACCTGTAAGCCTGGGGCTGACTGCTCTTCTGTCCGGGTTCAATGCTTTTATCCCCTTCCCTGCTCTTCCGGCCTGCTACTCTGGGCAGGCCTGATTTTCCCCTCCTCACCTAATCCCTTCGGCTGATTGCTCTTCTGTCTGGGTTCAAGGCTTTTATCCCCTTCCCTGCTTTTCCAGCCTGCTACTCTGGCGTCCCTATGTTGTCTCTCCTCCAGAGACCATGTAGTCTAATACATTCACAAGTGCTTGCAACAATTGCCCTTTTGGAGGGCCATTTATTAAAACCTATTAATAATCACAAAAATTATCTTGCTCTTTGATCTGGTAATTCCACTCCTGGAAATTTATCTTAAAAGATTCAAATGAAGACAAATAATTTTTATGGACAAAGCCAAAATAATGACCATGTTGCTTTCAATCATTACATCCTCATTCATGCCTTCCACCACCAAAACCAAAACCAAAACCAAATCCACTGCCATGGATTCTGACTCATAGTGACCCTACGTGACAGAGTTGAACGGCTCCAAGGGGGTCCCAAGGTCATAAATCTTTATGTGAACTGCCACATCTTTCTTCAGCAGAGCAACTGCCAACCTTCTGGTTAGCAGCTGGGCACTCTCACTACTGAGCCACCACAGCTCCTTCAATGCCTGTTAAATGATTGTTAACTTGTTAAATGACAGGCCCATATTTAAGAGGCCGATTTAAGACTCAGAGTAGGTGGCGATTAAAGACTGCTGAGTTATAGCTAATAAAACAAAATCCCAGAGGAGGTGGAAGGGGCAGATATCATGAATTCAAGTATAGAGGTTTATACCTTCTTTTGCAGATAAAGGGTAATGACTGTGAAATTTTGTAAAGGAGAAAAAGGAGGGAAGGAAGTCAGATGGAAGATTTTAATCAATGAAATAATCTGCAGAGTAAAGAGGACTGGGTGGACCCTGAGTTTGAATACAATCTCGAATTTTCCCTGAGGGGATTCCAAGAACTGTGTGCAGTGTCCTGTGTGAGGCTGCTGGGGAACATGCAATTCCGAAATGAGGATGTCCTGAGGAATACTGTAATAGTATCCAGAGTTGTCATGGCTGCCATTGTGAGCCCTTCACTCCATTTCGACTCAGAGAGACCCTATTGGACAGAGGAGAACTACTCCACAAAGTTTCCAAGGCTGTAATCTTTACAGGAACAGATCACCAGGTCTTTCTATTTCGGAGCCACTGGGTGGGTTCGCATACTAACCTCTTGATTAACAGTCATAAACCTTCCGGTCGGCAATGGAGCGCTTAACTGTTGCGCCACCAGGGCTCCTGAGTATTTAAAGACTAGAGTAGCCAACTTTTTTTCTCCTGGAATCCGGAGCAACTTGATTTTTAACTGAATCCTTATTAATTTGGCAAGGGTTCTGCATTTAAATGAAGGTTGCGGTTATTTCTGTCAGTAAATGAAAGGAACGTTAGCTGAAAAGGTCAACAGGAGGAGCGGGGTAAAAGGTTGGTGGGCGTGGCCACCCGAGAAGACGCTGGAGGCCGCGCCCCCTTCCCAAAGTGCACCGCAGCCGCTGCCTGCGTGAACTCCTCTCTTGCGATCTCCGCCTGGGTTCTGAGGAGGTTTGCGATCATGGATGGCCTTCGGGCTAGTGCAGGGCTGCTGAGGCGAGGGAGGTTGCGGCGTCGGCGCCAGCCCCAGCAACACAGCGGGTCGGTCCTGACGCTGCCCTTGAGGCCCAGGAAGATCCGAAGGCAGCTGAGGAGAAGTGTGGCGTCCCGCATGGCCGCACTGAGGGCCCAGACCCTGCCAAATGAGGATTCAGAGGACTCGCGGGTGGAGTCGGCGGTCGACGGTCCCGGTGATCCGTTGTCTGGTGGAGCGGCGGCAGCCATTCCTGATGCGGCCCGGCGTGAGTCGTACGGCCACCTCGGCCCTGCAGAGCTGCTGGCGGCACCGTTGGAGGCCCCGCCTGCAGCCCGCTCCCTGCAAACTCCTCGCGTCCTGGTGGAGGCGCAGACCCCGCCAGCGCGCCTGGTGGAAGCGCAGACGCCACCGGCGCGCTTGGTACCGGCTTCGGTGCCCGCACGCGTTGTGGAGACCTCACCCTTGCTGTGCAGTGCCCAGCACTTGGCCGCCCCACCGTCAATGGCCCCTGCTACGATGTCGGGGCCGCAGGGGGATAGCACCGGCGGGGAGCTTCCCTGGGGCTCCCCGCTGCAGCGTGTCCTGGCTGAGCTGAACCGCATTCCTAACAGCCGCCGACGGGCTGCGCGCCTCTTCGAATGGCTCATCACACCCATGCCCCCAGAGCATTTTTATCGGCGCCTATGGGAGCGGGAGGCGGTGCTGGTGCGGCGGCAGGACCACACCTACTACCAAGGCCTTTTCTCTACCGGGGACCTGGATGCGATGTTGCGCACCGAGGACATACAATTCGGGCAGCACCTTGACGCTGCGCGCTACATCAACGGGCGGCGCGAGACCCTAAACCCTCCGGGCCGCGCCTTGCCCGCCGCCGCATGGTCCCTGTACCAGGCCGGCTGCTCTTTGCGTCTTCTCTGTCCGCAGGCTTTCTCCACCACCGTGTGGCAGTTTTTGGCGGTGCTCCAGGAACAGTTTGGAAGCATGGCAGGCTCCAACATTTACCTCACACCCCCCAACTCGCAGGGCTTTGCCCCCCACTACGACGACATCGAGGCTTTCGTGCTGCAGCTGGAAGGTAGGAAACTCTGGCGCGTCTACCGACCCCGCGTCCCCGCCGAGGAGCTGGCATTGACATCCAGCCCTAACTTCAGCCAGGAGGACTTGGGAGAGCCAGTACTGCAGACCATGCTGGAACCTGGGGATTTGCTCTATTTTCCTCGCGGCTTCATTCACCAAGCGGAATGCCAGGATGGGGTGCACTCTCTGCACCTCACCTTGTCCACATACCAGCGCAATACCTGGGGCGACTTCCTGGAGGCTGTACTACCTCTGGCTGTGCAGGCTGCAATGGAAGAAAACGTGGAGTTTCGTAGAGGTCTGCCCCGAGACTTCATGGATTACATGGGGGCACAGCATTCAGAGTCTAAGGATCCGCGAAGAACCGCTTTCATGGAGAAGGTGCGGGTCTTGGTAGCCCGCCTGGGACATTTTGCACCTGTCGATGCTGTGGCTGACCAACGAGCCAAAGACTTCATCCACGATTCTTTGCCCCCTGTGTTGACTGATAGGGAGAGGGCACTGAGTGTTTATGGGCTCCCAATTCGCTGGGAGGCTGGAGAACCTGTAAATGTTGGGGCCCAGTTGACTACAGAAACAGAAGTCCACATGCTTCAGGATGGGATAGCTCGGCTGGTGGGTGAGGGAGGCCGTTTGTTTCTCTATTACACAGTGGAAAACTCCCGTGTTTATCATCTGGAAGAGCCCAAGTACTTGGAGATATACCCCCAGCAAGCTGATGCCATGGAACTCTTGCTTCGCTCCTACCCAGAGTTTGTGAGAGTAGGAGACTTGCCCTGTGACAGTGTGGAGGATCAGCTTTCCTTGGCAACTATGTTATATGATAAGGGGCTGCTGATCACCAAGATGCCTCTAACCTTAAACTAGTTTCTTGTTGATTGCTGGAAACAAGACAGTAGTGGTTTTCCTACCACCAGCACCTCTTTTAAAAACTCACATTCTTACCTTGATAACCTTCATTGGACTATGTGCTCACATTTACCTGTATGACTGTTTCAGTGTCACAAACCTCAGATGATCTTCTCGGAGTAAGCACCTCACCTAGGTACAAAAGTAAAAACAGAAGTTGGAGGTGGAAAAAAGGAGCTATATCTGCAGAAGTAACCTTGATCCCTGATCATTTCAGAGCATCACCTTCAGAAAGCTTGCTGTGTCATTCAGCTTAAGACATTAGAATTTTTTATTTGGAATTTGCATCCTTCACTTGAATTTTCTTCAGCTTTGGGGGGAGGTTTGGGGTCAGTATCCTGTTTGTTATTGTGAGTTTGTATGACCACCAGAAAAGTTATTAAAAGTGCCAAAGAATGTTTCCCTTTTCTGAGGCTAGATCATTATGTGGGATGGCTTGAAGGATGTGGGAAAGGGAGGAAGATAGGGAAAGTCTGTAATAGCTGAACTGGAAAGCAAATTGGGGTGATTGTGGGATGTAAAAGGAGCATGTTAAAACATTTTTAAAGAAAAGAAATTAATCTGATTGGGGCCAATTCTATAACTTCGGGGGTAATTTATTAATTTTAATTACATTACTTGAACTCCAAATAGCACGATCCTATTATAAATGTTAACCACTAGCCAGTCAGCTTCATGACTATTTTATGTTATTGCTCAGTGCTTGCTTGCATCATTGGCTGGCACTGCTTCCAGAGGGACAGCATGTCACTTGGTTTTGCTGTCGTAGGCCCCAGTCAACCAATTTGTAGCAAGCTGGCCATGAGGGAAGGCTGGTGTTCAAGTCACTTTCCACTCTCATTTTTTTCTGGCAGTTGGAAGAAACTTCCCCAAATCTGGCAAGTGAATATTCTCATGGTTGGTGGAAAAGAACCTGTGTACCAGAAAGAGCACTGGACTTGGAACCAGAAGACCTGGGTTTGGGGTGGTGGCTGGTAGGCAGCTGACTGAATGATCTGAGGCTGCTGTTGCTACACCGTGACACGCAGATTTTGTAAGTATATTTTGGTACAGCTTGATTTCTCCACACACCCCTCATTTAGGTTGTGTCTGGAACTCTTAAGATTCTATCACTGTATCTGGTAGGTTCAATTACATAGGGTTGGAAACTTCATAAAGTTGGGGTTTTTTTTTTCAAGTTATAAAAGCATTGTTACGTACCACCAATTTGGTTCTGACTCACAGCAATCCTATGTACAACGGAATGAAATGCTGCCCAGTCAATTTGTCTCATTGAGAGTCTTCCTCTCTTTGACCCTCTACTTTGCCAAGCATGATGCCCTTCCCCAGGATATAGACATACATAAAGTAAAAATGATAGCTCCTCTTTCAGCTCCACTTTCCAGAGTTGACCATTATTAAAGGTCAAATTTTTTGGGGAGCTTACTCAAGCACTCACACAGTAGTTTCTTTTTTAAAAGACTCATGTTTTTCTGGGAGCTCTGGTAGCATAGTGGCTAAGACACTTGCCTGCTAACCAGACGGCTGGCGGTTCAAACCCACCAGCCACTCCTCGGAAGGAAGGTTGGGCAATCCTACTTCCGTAGTGATACTGCCTCGGAAACCCAAGGAGGGGTCGCTATGAGTCGGGGCCGACTCGACGGCACATAACAACAACAACAACATGTTTTTCTAATATGGGTTAACTTTCATATCATTTCAGATAGAGCTACTTCATTTTTCTACAGGAACAAAATAGCAAATGAATAAAAACTTGAGGTCAGGAAAATAAAAACTTGAGAGAATGGTGGCCAAGAAGGAAAGGAAGTAGCTTCTTCAGATTATTTCATTCTTACCAGGCTCAGCACTAAGTCCCCAAACATCCAGATCCCGGACAAGGCATGCTAAAGAAGTCAAAGCATAAGACTCACCCCAAGGAAACCTACCCTGAAAAGTTTCTTGGAGAAGAGTACTCAGTTGCAATGGTTTTTTCCCCTCTTTGGGTTGTGAGTAGACACGTTTTGCTTCTTCCTTCACTTTTCCCATGACCACCTCGATTTTGAATATTTTCTGCATTAGCAAGTCCTTTTGGCTTAGTGTCTGAATCTAGATCAGAACAAGTGATGTTAAAGAATGCCTGGACTAGGCTGCAAACCATCAAAAAACACTAATAAAGTAACTGACTGCCATCCTGCTTATTAGTATTAGGTGGTATATAAATACTTGACAACACCCAGGTTAGGAATTAAGGAAAGTCAAGGAAAAAAAACCTAGGGGGCCATCCCCAATCCCTCATTCCTTCTCTATGTCTGCCTGCAAAAAAGAAAGAAGAACTTGGAGTTAGGGGGTGGTGGGTAGAAAATGCAGATGGAGGGAAATAGTATTTCAGAAATAATAACAACAACCCTAATTTTGAGGGCTACTGATAGGACTAATAGGATTTTTGTTTTGCTAATAGGATTTTATAACCTGACCTTGCACAGATGTTTTGTATCTTTAAATGATACGTTATCTGTGTTAGGGGTGACAAAAAGTACTTCTGTAAGTGGAAAAAAGGGTATGTATGTGTTCAGGGGGGAAAAAAGGGTCTGAGGAACCCTTGAAAGGCCGCAATTTTCCTCATGAAAGCACAGCTTGCACTTAACTACCCTGGTCTTGATTTCCTGAAGCATTTCTTGGTTTCCTTCATTTTCTAAATTGAGTATCTTCATTGCTTGGTAAATTTCCCTAAAAGTTAAGAAAGACTTCTTAGATTATTCTTCCATAGCCTTACAAAAAAGCATGGGGATGGGAAATATAGGAAAGACTATTCGATTCCAAATCTAACTGAGTCTTATCTGTAAAAATAGTATGAAGCTTAGGTTATAAGGATGCTGTGTAGTTTTGAGATGATAGATTTGAAGGTACTGATTAGGTGCCATTTATTGGACATGCCATCTCAGTCATTACCACAACTCTCTAAGGTTGGCTATTATATTATCTTCATTTGATACATGAAGAAATGGGCACAGAGAGGTTAAGTAACTTGCCCAGGCTCACATAGCTAGTGCATACGAGGGCTGGGATTCAAACCTTGGTCTTTGACAAGGAAGACTTGTCAGACTAGTTGAATAAATGACTTCAAACCACTTAGGCATAAACATGCATGAACTACATGGGCTTGACTTTCTGTCTAATTTAGGCCAATTTTTCTGTTACCTACTTGATAAGTAAGTAGATGAATAACATGAGTGAGCCTGTGCTTTTACTATCATCAGGCAGTCTGGGAAGCCAGGAGCATACTCTGAACAGGGGTGGGAGAATTAGCAGGACGAGAGGCTGTGGTCGGAACTAGAGCTTTAGCACTTACTTTACAACAGCTTCATGATTTTCTAGGAGCAGCACGTCTAGGAAAGTGTCTCTGACCTGGTCCCCCTGAATTTTGAGGGCCAGTATGGTACGACAAGCTTCCAGTCGTACACCTGCTGATTCTTCATAGTGAATAGCCCAGAGCAGGAGATCTGTCAGCTGGGGACTCACTTGGCCAATCTGTCCCAAAGCTATAGGGATTAAAGGGAAGCATGGTCCTCTGTCACTTTAGACTTGGCTGTATTCTAGCATCCGGAAATAGCCTTATTAAATAAATGGTATAGGCAGCCACGTGATAAATTGAATATTGCAAACAATATCTTTTTGGGTGACAGTTAATCACTATTATAATTTTGGAGATAGGTTGGAGTGGGACATTCTCTCTAAAGGTTACCTAAGAGAGGGGGTATTCCATCCCACCTTGTCCAATAGCATATGAGCATAGACTAATTTACCTATTTATCTAAATGAGATAAGGGACAGAAAACCAGCCTAGTCAAGACAGGGTCATATGGAAGGGAGGCATAATTACTTCATAGGTTTACCTAGGGCTGGCTCTGCTAGGGACTGTCAAAGATAGAAGCAATGCCAATAATCCCTAAAAAGAAAAGCTCAAAAAATTGAAGAATAGAGTATTAGGTCTGTAGCAGCATTGGATCTGGTCTGATTTTATATGCCCCTAATGTTGAAACCTCTAGGGAAAGTAAGATGTATTCCAACAGTGGATACTTGGAACTTATCCCAAATTCTATTAGCCATCCCTTTGCCTAAACATGTTTGGCATAGATCTAGATTCAGGATCCTTAACTAAAAATTAAAAAGAAAATATTTCCCTTCTCAGACAAGGCACTAATGAGAAGCTAAGATCATCCCTTCCCCTACACTCCACCCCCTTTCTAAAGGACTTCTGGGGATCATCTGTATTAGTATATGGGAAGGTATTTGGGGTAGAAGAGCTAAGATCATGCTATAATACCTCGAATAGCAAAAGCCTTGATTTTCCAGTAGGGATCTCTCTGTGTCAGATTCAGGAGGCATTCAAGCACCTGATAAGGATAAAATCCAAGTGTTGAGTGGGGGAGGATCAGAAGAAGAGTAAACTAGAGTCAGGGACTATGCTTGTCTCTGAAATGTAGTATAACTGAAAAACAACCTTCCAGCAATTCTAGTGACAGAAGAGCTAGAGGCCAGAGTACTAGCCTGTACACATAGTGTAATCACTGAGTTACCTAGTCTCTGGATTGATTTTCTCAGCCCATATCTATGTTCATATATGCTTTTGGACACTTCAGTCAGGCCTCTTAGTAGTAACTAGGGATTATGTTGTAACCCAGGAGTCCCTGGATGGCATAAATGGTTAAGCTCAACTACTCACCGAAAGATTGGCAGTTTGAACCATCCAGAGACAACTTGGAATAAAGGCCTGGTGATCTGTTTCCAAAGGTCACAGCCTTGAAATTCCTATGGAGCTGCAGTTCTACTCTGCAGCTCATGGGATCACCATGAATCAGAACGGACTTGACGGCAGCTGGTCTGGTTTGGATTTTTGGTTTATGTTATAACCCTACTCACTGGAATTGATCCTAAAGCCTGTCAATCACCAGGTAATGAGAAGCTGAAGTGAGAACAGGATTAGATAAACATGGATATACCCTAGATTGAAGACTGTGCTGGGTGGTAATTAAAGGTGGTCCTAACTGATTGATGTGGTCTGTATATACCACTTCAGCTTCCGGGACTAATGTCTCATTCTGTGCCCACAGAATGGTAAATGTATTATGCATAACAAAGGAACGATCAGGGGAGTGCCCTTTTCAGGTCCATCAGGTTAGATGGGAACATGCTTCTTGATTTACCATGTTGTCACGGATCTGCAGAGCTCCAGCTGCCAAACAGGCTTCCCGCCGCACTGCCACAAAGTCATCAGAGAAGCAGTTGAGGAAGTTTGGGAGAAGCTTGGCAGTCATGAGCTTGAGCCCACCAATCAGAGAGAGGGCTTCCACACGCTCCTGGGAATTTCCTTGACCTAGCTTGACTCTATAAGGCACAAGGTAATTTTTTTATTTTCCCTGTTTATATCTTCAGTTGCCCTCCCACTGTCCCAGTGCCCTACGGATAAAATCCAAGCTCTGTAGGCTCTCCATTGCCCAGACTTACCCCTTCATATTCAGCCTTATGTGCATTAGGTTAAGCTTCACTGGGTGGAGACTTTAACCGTCTTATTTACCTGAATCCCTATTATATAGCATATTCTATGACAACTGAATGAATAAAGTTTCAACATCCACACCTTGCCACAGTCAAGTCCTCTTCTCCACTGCCCTCACGTGTGCCCTGCTCATTTCTTCATCTGGTGCCCAGCCTAGAATGCCTCCTCGTCTTATCCATCTACCATGAACCTTGACCTTCCTCCTTTGAGCATTCTATTTCTCTACTATAGCAGTTATAATATATGCCATTCGTTCTAATTTTTAATAAAATTTTGTTTTTCATTAGGTATTTCTGTCTCTTGCTTGTATTATCAGAATCATGTCACTTTTGAACTCCCTCAAACAATGCCTAACACCTTGTGAGTACTCAGTTAACACTTCTTTCCCCAGCCATGTTGTTAGTTTTTGTAGGGGCTGTTAACTTTTTTTTTTTTTTTTTAATAATCCTGCAGTGCAGCATAGTACAATGCTAAGCATACAGACAAGCTCATATACCAGCTGGCTGGATCCCAGGCCCCCTCAACACTTGTAAGAATAAAAAGATTTCTCTCTGTATGTTGACGTGGTCTTACCTGATCTTGTCATGCACCTCTTTCCCAAGTCTCATTTGCCCAAGAGCTTGGGCAGCTGCTTGCCTCACTTGCTTATTCCAGTCACTCCACATCAATTCAATCAACTTCTGTTTCATATCCTACAAATAGTTGCAGTAATTAGCTACCATTATTGAACACTGACTTTATAACTTGGTCTGTGCTACGTGTGTTTTACCTGTGGTATCACTTAATCTTCCCAAACAATATAATGAGGCAGATGTTATGATTTATAGGTGATAAAATGGAAGTTTAGATGAACTTGCCCAAGGTTAACCTCTGATGAGTGCTAGAGCTGAGACTCAGACCCAGATTTGTTTCTAAAGCTCGTGTGTTAAACTATTGTATTAGAACCAATTTAATTTGTACCCAAGAGACTTAAAAATTTTAGGTGATGTATTCATAGGTTGACCAGTTTGTCCCAGTTTGCTTGAGACTGCCCCACTTTTGAATTGAAGGCCCTGCGTCCTAGGAAAACCCTCCACCCCAGGCAAAGTAGGACAGTTGGTCATGCTACGTGTTAAAGTTTATTTCCCTTAGAGGGGAAAGGACAATGATTACTACGATTGTATTCAGTGGTTTTGAAATTGTGTCCGTGCTCTTCTTCCTGCTTGAAATAATATCTCCCTCCTTCACCCTATCTGATACCTGGTGTTTTCTAACTTTTCCTTTAGCATTTAGCTCAAATAACTTCTTCTCAGTGAAATCCTCTCTGCCCTCTCTTAGCATAGTACTCACAGCTTTTACTGTTGTGGCTATTTATAACATTTACCATGAGATTCTTAAAGAGAAAATGTGATTCATCTTTGGATCCTTAGGGTTAGCCTGGTATGTAGGAGGAAGTGGTCAGAAACTGCTTGATTACTGAATGAATGAAAGAACTGATGGACATACTTTCTTAATTCCAGCAGTCTGACATGAAGTCTTCATGTCTTTACCTTACCCCTGCGAGCTCTGCTTTTTACTCTGTTGCCAGTCTTTCGTGGTAAGTGCTGAAGTGGTGAATTTGCAGACAAGTTGGATATTGTTAAAATTGTACTGTTAAAATGCAGATTCTGACTGAGTTGCCCTGAGGTAAGTTTGCATTTCTAGTAAGCTCTCTGTGTGATGCCTATACTGCTGGTCCAGGACTTTAGTAGGCCTATAGCACTTGAGACAGAATTAACCCACCATCAAATATCTTTAGGTTATTACATTGAATGGCCAGAATTGGTGCTTCCCACATCAGAAAGTGAGGGCCAAAAATAAAATTAAAAAAAAAGAGGTGAGTGCTAAAAAGTAAAGGTGTTTGCTTGTGAGAATGGCAGTGTTCTGGGCCATTTGGGAGATACCCAGTGTGATGAGAAAAAGGTAAGAGTGACAAGGGAAACATATTTGGACAGTTGAAGATGGTTTGGAAATAATGACAAAAAGGAGGGTAGGTAAAAGCTTAAATGACAGTCATGGTTTCCCTTCCCTGGAATACATTATTCTTTTCTATCCAAGTCTTGTTCAGCTGTCCCACACTCCCTTCACAAAACTTAAACTGGTAAGTTCAGCCCACACAAATACTTCTCTTTCTCTGAAAAATTCTGAGTGCCTTAAATTTATTGCTTATTCTTAAATCATTCATGTGCATTAGTCATTCATGTGGAGTTAGTTGCTCCAGCTGAACTGTCAGTTTTTGAAAGTTGGGACTGTGTTTTACACCTTCTTCATGTGTGTGGTGAACATTCCGGGACAGTCAGGATGAACACTAATAGTTGGGTTGTTGAATAAGGCAGTACTTCCCAAACTATCTGTGATGCAGGTCCAGTATTTTGGGAGAAAAATATTTCATTGATGGAATCATTTATCAACATTGGTGTTGAGACAATATCAAATTGCTATAAAAGTTTCTAAACTTGTTCGCTGTGTTTGTACTTATTTCATTGTGGGTTAGTTAGTTTGTGGACTGCTACCACACTGAGATCCACACTGGCTTAAATCACAGAAAGACATGTCAATATTGAAAGACAGTTTTGGGTTAGGAGTATGGGGCATTGGGCAGCAATGTGGAGACAGATCTTTTTTATGTGAATGAAATATTAGATAGCAACAAAAAGTATAAGATCCCTAACCCAGCCTTGCTTAAGCTTTCTGACCTTGAAGCACAGAAAGGGAAGTCTTACCAAACTGACATTTCCACTGATCCGGGACAGAGCCCGGCAGGCCACAATCCGGTCCTTCCATTGATGGCTGTTCAGCTCCACAGCAAGCATGGTGTGTATCAGTGTCTGAGGAAATGGATGGTGTGGATATTCACAATCACTTTTAGAGATACTGGAGCCTTGAGGTTACATCATAACATGGAATCCAGCATAATGAATGTCACAAGTACATGAGCTACCCATCCCTAGCAAAGGTAAGAGTGGGCTTACAAGACACAGGGTACTTTTCCACTGGAGCCAACTGAGTCTGGAATCATAAATAATCTGAACAGAAAAGTTGGAGCCTTTTCTCCTTGACTTGAATTGTTTTCACCCCTAAAATGATTTGTGTATGCCTCAATCTTTGTAAGTTTCACATTTCTGCTGAAAGTAACTAAAAACACTTATAGGTGTGTGCAGTTTTCAGTGGTGACCTTCTAGCAGAAGCAAATTTTGTGTCATGAGAAACTAATGTATCTAGGAATGTATCTGGGAAAAGCTTAGCAATTTTATCTTTGATGTCTTAGTGCAGGTACCACAGAAACTATCTGCCATCTGCTCTTCTCACCTTTCTCTTAGCTAACTATTGTCACTTGTACATGTCTTTATGTCCATGTTCACCCACACTTAGTTCCCTTTCTGTCTATACTTGAAATCTTTCTACCTGACCACATGCATTTTGGATTCCTTACATACACTGACCTCAAAGGACCAGTTGTTCCCCAAACCTTGGTTTCTTTAACCCTCTACTGGACACATACTGTCTTCCCGCTGAGATGGTTCAGGAGGCTACAAGCTTGTTCTTCAGTGTCCTTGTCCTTCTTGTTGAACAACTGATTGAGGATTCTCTTTATCACGGGGTGAGTGGCATCACCTTCCAGAGCCAAGCACTGAGCTGCAGCCCAGCTGTCCACATTATTACCTGCCACAGGGGGTTGGAAAAGAAGGGATCCAGAATGGTGATCTGTTCTCCCCCAGAGAGAACAGCCTTTGGATTGGTACCTAAGGCTGCTGCCTGCTTCATGTCTCTTCCCTGTGTTGCACTTACTCTAGAAATCCAATCCCATATTGAAACCATATTTAAAGGGATCCTAGCAAGGTTTTTAGGGATCTCTGGTAGCATAGTGGCTAAAGCACTTGACTGCTAACCAGAAGGCTGGCAGTTCAGACCCACCAGCTTCTTCTCAGAAGGAAGATGGGGCAATCTACTTCCGTAGTGATACTGCCTCAGAAACCCAAGGAGGGGTCACTATGAGTCGGGTCCAACTCGAAGGCACATAACAACAACAACAACATCAAGGTTTGAAATACAAGCTGAGATATCTCAACCAGAAGAGTCACCCTAAAAGACTCTTGTTAAATAATAGGAGTAAGGCAATCTGACCTGTCAGATGCAGTCCCTCCTAGAGGCTGGGAAGCCAGAGGTGTAGGCTTTCCCAAGGCAGGTGAACGAAGCTGAAGAAGGCCAAACCTGTCAGCTGGTTGTTCCCCACCTCACGGCAAGGAATAGCCACTTCCCAGAGCAGTTAGGCACCAGGGCCTATCACCTAACAGCCTTTTTGACTATTTGACACTAACAGTGCATGTGGCTAATGCCTGGAAGTTAATGTGTTCAGATACTGACTTAAATTTCCACAAAGTATTCTTTAATATTGTTATATTATCTTTTCAATTAAAATAACAATAATCAGGTGGCCTCTGAAACTCAGGCCCTGAGATAATCTTTAAACCTTAAACCAAAACTATCCCCTGAAGTCTTCTGAAAACCAAAAATTAATTTAGCTTATTAGCTTAACTAATGAAAAATGTCTGTTTTGAGCATTATGTTCTTTTAAGAACTATCTATATGGGATCAAATTGACAATGACAACTCAAAAGTTTTAGAGAGGAACCTTAGGGGGCAGTGGTTTTACGTTAACGAGGGAGGAACAGTTCAGAGTGCGAGAATAGTACAACTTGAAGACTGGAATCAATGTTACTGAATTATACATGTAGAAAGTGTTGAATTGGTATTTTGCTGTGTATATTCTCAAAAACAACATAAAAATTTTTAAAAAGACTGTGATAGGAAATAACCCATGATGCAGAGGGTGCAGAGAAGGACTATTTTCACATGCTTGTGAGAGTCTAAATTGATCCTACCTTTTTGAAAGTCAATTTAACAGTACGTATTGAAAACCTTAAAATTTTACAACCTTTACATACCACATTTTTAAAAATATTTTTTACAAATCAGGTGGTGTGCAAAGGAGGCATGGTTTCTTGTCAAATGTATCTAGGAAAAGCTTAGCAATTTTATCTTTGATGTCATAGTGCAGGTACCACTTGGTGACAATGCACACTTGTCAAAGTACCTAGGAACTCATTTCTCAGTGTTCTGTTAATAAACCCAAACCTCTAGTAATTCAGCAGACATCACAGAGCATGATAATGAAAAGGCAAGGACTGGGAAAAGCTGATAGGTGAGGTATTCTCTCTGGACCTCTTAGTTGCAGGTCAGAAATAACAGGGAGCTACTCACCCTTCAAAAGGGCAGTATGCATGATGTCCCGGGCAAGAGGATTATGTGACTGTATGGCATACTGGCATATTGCTGCCGCCATCTGCACGTTAGCATTCTTGTCTTGGAGAGCAGCCCTCAGGGCGGGCTGTAGAGCCTCCGGCAAGTCCTGGATTGGTGGGTCTTTGACATCTGTGATCAGAAGAGGGCCAGTAAGAAGTTATTGGCCCTTTTGCTTTTTTCTCAAACACAGCTTCCTTCCCACTGCCACATGGTGGCCAACTTGGTCTCAGTAGCTGGTGCTGCTGCTACTTAATGTAATTAGTGTTAGCGGAGCCCCATCAATGGTAGGATTTCATGGCTCAAGACGCCCTAAAGGACAAGGTAGAATTTCCCAATAGAGTTTCCAAGGCTGTAATCTTTATGGAAATGAGCCCTGGTAGCACAGTGGTTAAAGTGCTTGGCTGCTAACCAAAGGATTGGCAGTTCAAACCTACCAGCCACTGTGTGAGAGAAGGATATGGTAATCTGTTTCCATAAAGATTCACAGACTTGGAGACCCTGTGGGGCAGTTCTTTGTCTTACAGGGTTGCTATGAGTCAGAGTCAACTTGGTGCAGTGGATTTGGCTTTTTTGTTAATCTTTGGAAGCAGACTGCCACGTCTTTCTCCTTCCACCCACATTTCAGTGAGCAGCTGAGCACTAGGGCTCCTTATACAAAGTGAGAAAGAAAAGTGAGCTAATAAAAATATCTGATTACATACCGGGTCCTCCAATAACAGTAATAACATATTGAACAGGTGTAGGAAGACAAATGGGACTATACCCATGAATATATACAGGTTTGACAGGATATTTCTACATAGGTAACTATATGTGCCATCAACAACAACTACTACTATATGTGCAGCAAATGTATTCATGAATATAATAGAGCATGCAGGGGGCAAGGTTGTGAAAACTTTTTAGCCATAACCAAATACCTGAGGGCTCAGGACTATAGTCTCAGGGGACATCAAGGTCAGTTGACTTAACATAGTCAACAAAGACAATGTTCTACATCTTACTTTGGTGAATAGTGACAGGGGTCTTAAAAGTTTGTTAGCAGCTATCTAAGGTGCAACTATTGGTCTTTCCCCATCTGGAACAAAGAAGAATGAAGAAAACCAAAGACACAAGGAAACAATTATTCCTAATGGATCACCTGAACCCTAGCCTCTAGGACCCAGGAACCAGAAAAGCTACATGGTGCCTGGCTGCCACTGCTCACTGCTCTGAAAGAGATCACAGTAGGAGGTTCTGGATAGAGTGGGAGAAAAATGTGGAACAAAACTCAAGATCATAAAAAGACCAGGCTGACTGGTTTGATAGAGACTGGTGGAACTGGGTGCTGGGAAAGAGGTTGGAAATACATATATGTACATGCATATATCTGCATTTATTAATATTAACATTATAAATTATAAAATTATAAAAAAATATATCTTGTAATTTAGGAGAAAAAAATGAGATGTTTAGGAAGGAGGAATAATGGAACTGAATGATTAATTGGTTGTGGGAAGAGGATGGAGTTGTTCAGAATAACTTCCACAGTCCTGGCTCAGAAACTGGGGCCATTGATAGAGATGGGGTCTGTGAGGACAGTCATGAACTCAGTTTTGGACATATTTAGTTTGAATATGCTGTCAAGAGGTAAAATGGATTTGGAGGGAAAGTATTCTTTTAAATATAGTTTTTTACTATTATGAATGGTAACTCTGGGAAAATGTGAACTTCTCTGCAAGCCACTGAGCTAGCAAACGGCAATGAAGTATACAAAAGGTGTAAGACTAAAAGTTAGGAATTTTAATTCTCTCTGTTCATCACGTTATATTATCTCTATTGCTGACAAACCAAAAACCAAAGCAGTTGCCATCAAGTCTACTCCAACTCATGGCAACCCCTGTGTATCAGAGTAAAACTGCTTTATAGCGTTTTCAGTGGCTAGTTTTTTGGAAGTAGATTTCTAGGCCTTTTCTCTGAGGTTACCTTTGGGTGGACTTGAACCTCCAACCTTTTGGTTAGCAGCCGAGCATGTTAGCCCTTTGTACCACCCAGGAACTCCTCTATTCTCATTTGTAAAATAGGAATTATACTTGACATCAACATTTGTAAAGTAATCTCAGATAATCTCCAAAGTTCCACTACTTCAAATATTCTATGACTCTGAGTTGCTTATAAGCAATCTGGTCCTGGCTCTCACCTGAGTCTCCCTGGCTAGTCGCAATTCGGGGCCACTCCAAAGCTGCCATTGCACATGTGATGATGGCTTGGATACGAGTGTCATCATGCATGTCTGTCAGGCTCCGTTGCAGGCTCTCCACTGTCTCATGGTACCACTCGATGACTATACCACAGTGAGGGAAATGGAAGAGAACCACCTGGTTAGAATTAGATACTCTGCCATAAGCAGGTGACAAGGAGTTGCATTTCCCCCAGGACAGTTCAAACAAAACAGAAGAATAAAGTCCTAGAGATGGGATCCTTGGGGAAGTTATTTCTCTGGTGGTCCATGTGCCCTCTTAGTTCCCAAAACTCTCCTCAATTCTTATATATTCTCTCTTTGCTTGTTTTCTTATATTCTATCTCTTGATTACTGACATCTGGAAAATAAAAGTAAAACACAGTGGTTAAGGGTACTGTGTTAAAACATAGCTGGTTTGGAATCAGAATTACTAGTTGTGTGACCTTGGATAAGTTACTTAACATGTCTGTGACTGAGGTTTCTTATTTGTAAAATGGGAATAATACTAGAACTTACCATATTAACTTATTTTGAGGACTAAATGTATTAACTAGACAAAGTGTGTAGCAAGATGCCTAGAAGATGATGAGAATTCAATAAATGTTAATTATTGTGGTTATCATTAGATTTCCTTGCCTTTGAGGGCTCTTCCATCTGGCTTTCAAGGTCCTGCTCATTTTAGTTACTAACTGCTCTTTTTGCAGGTTTCAGACTTACTTCAATGCTCCTACCATCTCCAGATGGTAGGCTTCTGATACTCTGAAATCTTTTTTACCTGTTTTTCATTTATCTGATCCAGTTTGGATTGCCTCTCTTTTTTCTGTACTAGTCTCTCATGTGCTGGTGGTTCAAGCCCACCAGCCACTTCTCAGAAGGAAGGTTGGGCAGACTACTTATGTAGTGATACCACCTCAGAAACCCAAGGAGGGGTTCCTGTGAGTCAGATTCAACTCAACGTCAGTGAGTTAGTTAGAGTTAGTCTCTCATGTTTTGAAAGCCAGCAGCCCTCAAGTTCTCAAATACTGTGCTGGGCCCCTACTTTGCCCTAGAGTCAGCCTTCTACTCCCATATCTCAGAAGTCAGAGTAGACCTATGATAATCCCAGCTCCACAAATGAATTGGAGAGAGATTGTTTTGTGTATTTTCTTTATTTATAAAAAAGGAGCTCTGGTAGCATAGTGGCTAAGGCACTTGACTGCTAACCAGAAGGCTGGCGGTTCAAACCCACCAGCCACTCCTCGGAAGGAAGGTTGGGCAATCCTACTTCTGTAGTGATACTGCCTCGGAAACCCAAGGAGGGGTCGCTATGAGTCAGGGCTGACTCGACGGCATATAACAACAACAACAACAACAACATAGTCAACTAGTTTCTTTTGATCACTACATTTCTATTGCTTGGGCAGTATGGTAGTTAAGGTTATGTGTCAACTTGACTGGGCCTGGTTTTGAGTGGCTGGGCAGCTGGATGTAGTTATTCCCCATGATGAGACTGGTAATCAATTCCATGGTAGAATCTACTGTGAGCAGCTGAGGATGTGGTCTGCTTCCAGTGTACAAGAAGACAGCTTTGAGAAAGGTCTCTGAGCTTTTTGGCACATCTGGATCCTGCATTTGGCTGAGTCTTCATCTCAGTGGCCTGTCATGTTGTCTGATGATTTTGAGACTATTTCTGGACTTGAACTAGTAGCCTGCCATATTCCTTGATAATTTTGGGACTGTGCCATTTTACTTATTGACCTTGGGTTTGTCAGCCTCAGCAGTCAGCAGCTGCTTGGGTTAAGAGATGCTTAAGTTAAAGAAATATCTCCAACTCCCAGTGGGCTGGGAGCAAGAGGCAAAGCTGAAGCCCAAGGTTAAGGGATCTTCACCCAGCCCTAAAGCTGGCAGTTGGAACTCGGACTTCTAACCTCCAAAACTGTAAGAGAATAAATCCCTGTTTGTTAAAGTCAGCTATGCATTTGTGGTATTTTTTTGAGAACTGAAACAGGCAGCATTATTTCATCCTTCCCTTTATACATCATTTATTGAGCATAACCGTTTCAGAGATGACTGAGATAGATCCCTGCCTAGTTCTCAGTGTAGCGAGTTTCCACAAATTACTGAAGTAAAATGGGGATATGATTTGCCCTTCCTGCCTGTCTGTCCTTGTACCCAGATATATGTCAGCTAGCATTCATCTAACCCACTGTGTGCAGGGCTCCTGACGAGTCTAGCTTTGGTGAGGTAACCAGCCCTTTACATTTCATGAGAGTGGGTTGAATTTAAAAAGATTAAGATACACTAGTCCATGGTGAGGCTGTTCCTTCTTAAATACCTATCAATGCCTCAGGACCTCCCTTCACTCACTCAGATACCAGGCAGCCTTCCATTCCTGTAGCATCCTCCGCAGGACCGCCAGTTCCCAGGTCACATTCTCCTGTAGTGGTTTTGTCTCCTCCTGCTGTCTGCTGGACTTCATGGATGTGTCCTCACCCACTTGCAGCAGCAGATCCTTGACTGGGGTAGGCAAAGCAGCCCAGCGTATACCTCCTTTCATGGGCCTACAAGCTGTATCAACATGGCAGTGTGAGGTCTTCTTACCCCTGTAGGTCCTATCCTACCACATAGCCTTCCCAACTAACATTACTTTCCTCTATCTAACACCAGGGAAAAACAAAACTCTCAAGAGTGAATTTTCCCATGATTATATTGGGAGTTGAGTATAAGTTCAATAGGGAGTTAGAAAAGTCCTGACTACAGAAATGATGATGTCATAATGGTGGGGGAGAGATGTTCAGAAATGATTACAGCCATGATGGTGGAGGAGATTGGAGGGGGTACGTGAAAACTTTTTAAAAATAAATTTAATAAATCTTTAGGGGTATAAAAGCTTATGTGCAAACTGCTCATAACAATTCAATATTTGATATATTGCAATTTACAGTAGACTATAGTTGGCCATTAAATCCTAATTTATTAACTAACAGAATTACTAATGTTTTTAATTTTGAGGGTGGAATGGTGCTACAAGCTGCTAAATTTTAAAGATTTTCAAAGTTATGACAAATAACAAAAATTTGAGAACAGAAAAAAAATATTTGCACATTGTTGTAGTTATACATAGTTGTTATGTAAAAATAGTTACAGTTATGCTTTTTGCACATAATGCCCTCCATGATATCAAACAAATTCAGAAAGCCTCATTCTCAGGAAAGAAGCTGTGTGGAGAAGGCGAAGAGAAGATGGGGATAAAAGCATTTCAAACTTGATCAATCATGGAGAATAGAAGGGCTGTGTATGCACAGGGAGACAGCTCAGGGGGCAGGAGTGCATAGGAGGGAAGGACACAAGGGAAGAGGTGGCTATGGGGAGGAGGTGGGAAGGGAGCTGTTGTATTGTGGGAGATTACAGTCAATGTCATGTGACAAAGTATATGAACTGCTGTATGGAAGATGAATTTGCTCTGTAAACTTTCACCCAAATCGCAATAATTTTTTTAAAAAAAGCAAAAACATTTCAGACTTATTAAATTCACTGTTTGCCACATTGCCTATCAGTCTCATATTCTCCTCTATTACTACCAACCAATTCTCTTTCTTCCAGGATTTCATTCCAACTCTGACATCTTTGTATTTGCTCTGAATCATTTCTTTCCTTTGAGCAAGGATGGCAATACATTTCCTACTTCTAATATAGAGTCTTACAAGACACCAGGGCAGTCAAGGTCAAATGTCATGCAAAGCATCTCCTTTAATTGCCCCTTACCCAGCTTGGCGTGCTGGGGCACCCAGCATTCTGCTTAGCCTGCCTGCCTTTGCGGTGAGGATGGATGTAGCCAGGATTCCAGACCCGGCTCCAGACAGGTCAGCTCCCACCCTGCTGCTCTTCTCTCAGCCTGCTTGAAATCCCTCCCAGGGAAGAGCGAAGCAACTGAATTAACCCCATTGCTTCTCTATCCCCCTGCCCAACGAGTAAAAATGGATTGTGGTGAGAATATCTTGAATTTCTGATACTTAACCTGTATGGGAATAAACAAATATTATTACCACTGTCTACCTCCAGTCCTTTGAGTTCTACTAGTAGCCTGGTAGAAACACATCCACTAGTCCACTTTCACCTCAAATGTCACCTAAATGTAGTACACAAAGAAACAACCTTTTCATTTCCTCTGGGACAAAATGTACAGTATGATACTCGTGCCTGTATGATACCACCTGTGCTTGTTATATTGGAACTTGAATGGACTTCCGGGCACACTTAAGAGTTTCACATAAAGCTTTTGGGGAACGAAGGCTATGCAATAATAAGTGTACTTCTTATCTTGACAAATTTCACCTTTTTAAAGAAATCATTCACATTTTTCAATTTAACGAAATGAAAGGGGAAATAATCTACTACATCTTACCCCAAGAATTTTCCTGTTTTTTCCAGGTTCTTTCCCACCTAACTCCATTTCAAGGGATGATGAATACAATGGTTATCAGAAGGTGTGTATATATTACTATCCTAACTCCCTCTCAGGTCATTCTCTAATACTGTTTTTAAAAGTTGGATGTGAAACTTCCTGCAGCATCATTTGTTAAATGTGCCACATCCTGAGGGCAGGCGTCCAGGACCTGTGAGAAAAAAGTGCCCGTGAAGCAAGTGAGGTAGGCAATGAAGACTTTGGAGAGTGCAGAAGGATCCTCTGGGGGCTTTTTCAAATGAACAGCTTTGCTGAAATAGAATTCACACACTTTCAAATTCATTCTTTTAAAGTGTACAAGTCAGTGGTTTTTAGTATATTCACAGAATTAATGCATTCATTACTACCACCTAATCTTAGAGCATTTTCATCACCCCCCCAAAAAAACCACAGACCATCCTCCCTCTTTTCACCCATGACAACCACTAGTTTACTTTCTGTCTCTGTGGATTTGCCTCTTCTTCTAAGAGAAGAAAACATGAGAAATGGAGTTAGCTTGTGGGGGAAAGTAGTATACTAATAATGCCTTGAGTTTGTAAAGTATTTAATGGCTTATAAAGCATATTCATAACATTCAGCTCATATAAGTATCACAAAAGTGCCTTTCTATAGGAATGATGAGTGTCTCCATTTTAATGAAGCAGCTGAAGCCCCAGAAAGCAACTTGCCAAGTTCTGACGTGAGGCCTGTCTGGGTGTTTTCTCCACTGCATGATAGTGGTGGTCCTCAACAAAGGAGGAGAGTGTGTGAGTTTGGAGGAAGCTGCTCATAGCTACCATCATTAGCACCTCCTATACCCAGCAGCACTAGAGATAGAGGTTTGGGGCTGATGAAGAGAAGAATGCATCACTCCTGCTGTTAGTTTCTGCACACCAGCCTCTGGGAGCCCATGTGAATAATGACACTGCAAAGAAACGAGTCATGAGAAATGGATACATAGTCTCTTGGAGAATGGGCACATTTTGTTTCATAAGCTTATTTCTTGGCCACCTACTCATCTGTCCTACAGAATGATGTACTTGTGGATTAGAAACTTGTAACGTCCTAGGATGTGAGACAGGCATAACCAAAAACAAAAAAACAACCAAAATCACTGCCATCGAGTCGGATGCGACTCATAGTGACCCCTTCTTGGGTTTCTGAGGTGGTATCACTGTGGAAGTAGATTGCCCATCCTTCCTTCCGAGGAGGGGCTGGTGAGTTTGAACCGCCAGCCATCTGGTTAGCAGTTGAATGCCTTAGGCACTATGTCAGCCCAAGGGGAAAGGGCAGAGTACATGGGGCTGGTTTAGGGGTTTAATATACCTACCCTGGAACCATTTGAGCTGGGACTTTCCTCACTGGTAACTATTAGCCCTAAACCACTTGGTTACACCTAAGTTGTATCTGATATCAACTGATTGGATACTCTATTGAGGCTCTTCCTAGTTATAGTTAGTGGTTTATCATTTTATGAGATGACTTTTAATTGGCAGAAAGAAAATCCTCTAGAAGATACCTTAGCCCATGACCTGGGGACCTTAAAGAAGTAGCCACACTTCCATCATCCCCCCCCCCCCATTACCAGCTTCCTGCTTACGTGCTTCAGGAATTGGCTGGAAACTCCACTTTTCTGGGGTCTCAGGGAAGACCTTGCGCAGCTGCTTATTGTACTGATTGAGGTTTTCGAGAAAAATTTGGTCTCTTTTTGCACCGGCCTTCTTGATGATCTGGACATTGTCTGTAAACACACAAAAATAATGAGTCCCCCAGCACCTCCCTCCTGCCTCTCTTCCTAGATTTCCACTTAGTACCCAATTCCTTTTTGCCCTAATCTAAGTCCCCGTGACCATGACTACCATGTTGTGGGTGCATCTTTCATAGGTTATTGTTGCTTAGGAATGTCACAGCTGGTTACCTTATAGAGAATGCTAAAAGACACCTAGGAGCCAAGGATGGTGATGTTTTCTGTTGGTAAGGCAGAACCTATTTAACTTATAGGCATTGTCTCCTATGAAAAGCTAAATACTAAAGAAAGAGTATCAGGATAATAGGAAGATTCATTAACAACCTGCAATATGCAGATGGCACAACCTTGTTTGTTCAAAGTGAAGATTACTTCAAGCACTTACTGACAAAGATCAAAGACTGTAGTCTTCAGTATGGATTACAACTCAACATAAAGAAAACAAAAATCCTCACAACTGGACCAGTAAGCAACATCACGATAAATGGAGAAGAAATTGAAGTTGTCAGGGATTTCATCATACTTGGATCCACAATCAACAGTCAATAAATCAAACATCATATTGCACTGGGCAAATCTTCTGCAGAAAACTTCTTCAAAGTATTAAGGAGCAAAGATGCCACTTTAAAGACTAAGTTGTGCCTGACCCAAGCCATGGTATTTTCAATCACCTCATATGCATGTGAAAACTAGATAGTGTGAATAAGGAAGATTGAAGAAGAGTTGATGCCTTTGAATATGGTGTTGGTGAAGAATACTGAAAATACCACGGACTGCCAAAATAACAAACAAATCTGTCTTGGAAAAGGTACAGCCAGGATGCTCTTTAGGTGCAAGAATGCCCAAACATCATCTCATGTACTTTGGTCCTGTTGTTGGAAGGGACCAGTCCCTGGAGAAGTATACCATGCTTGGTAAAGTAGATGGTCAGTGAAAACGGGAAAGACCCTCAATGAGATGGATGGAAACAGTGTCTGCAGCAGGAGGCTCAAGCATAGTGAGAATTATGAGGACAGCACAGGGCCAGGCAATATTTTGTTCTGTTGTACATAGGGTTGCTCTGAGTTGAAGACGACTTGACAGCATCTAACAACAACAGAAGAGAGTATCTAATTAATCTCTTAATAGTCATGAATAAGAAGCTCTGGTGGCATAGTGGGTGAGACATTTGGCTGCTAACCAGAAGGTCAGCTGTTCAAATCCACCAGCTGCTCCATAGGCGCAAGATGAGGCAATCAACTTCCATAAAGATTCACAGCCTTGTAAACCCAGTGGGAGTTGCTATGAGTCAGAATTGACTTGATGGCAGTGGGTTTTGCTTTTGAATACCTTAGTCTGAATAATTTTGTTGAATACTTTTAAAAGACTTTCTGCTGAAAACAGTTTAAGAGCAAGATGAAGGCAGGGAGGAAGAAACACCTTGGAACATGCAGACCTAGATAAAGTGTCTTTGAGTCTAGGATCTAAAGGATAGCAAGATGGAAGAGGAAGACAGTGGACATTTATTGAGCCCCTTGTATGTATTGGGCAAGAAGCATTTTAGAGGGACCAGGTTTGCTGGTCTGATAGAGCCTGGTGGAACCTCTGAGACTATGGCCTCTAACTGCCCTTCAGGTCTGGAATTGAACCCACTCCTGTGGCTTCCAGCCAAACAAAAGACATATGAGCTGAACATTTACATTAGGTAGATGCACTCCTTGGAGAGATCAGCCTTGGGAGAATAGAAGGGTTGTGTATGCACAGGGAGACAGCTTGGGGGACAGGAGTGCATGGGAGGGAAGGACACAGGGAAGTAGGTGGCTGTGGGGAGGAAGTAGGAGGAGAGCTGTTGCATTGTGGGAGATTACAGTCAATGTCATGAGACAAAATGTATGTGAACTGCTGTATGAAAGATGAATTTGTTCTATAAACTTTCACCCAATTCACAATAAAATTAAAAAAGAAGAAGAGCAACAACAATTTTAGATGCTTTCTCATTTATTCTTTACTCCAAGTGAATTTTTAATAACATTATTTTACATGCTAATTGCCAGGTATATAAGGCCATAAGGGATTATTTGCTGAAGGTTACTGCAAAGTAGTTAAGTGAAAATTCAAATCCAGATCTACCTGACTGTAAAGCCCATGATTTTTTCCCAACATATCACCTCAGTGGGGAAATATTTCAAGGTGATAGAAGAGAGAAAAGGTCAGTTGTTTCCAAAATCAAATCTTGCCTACTTCATAATTCCAGTCATCTTAGTCAAATAGAAGGATAAAGAAAGAGGGAAGAAGGAGAATAGTTCCTTCTTCTCTGGATACTAAGGAGTTTTGGTGGGACTGTGGTTAAGGCACTGGGCTGCTAACCAGAAGGTTGGCACTTGAAACCCACCAGTCATTCCATTGGAGAAAGATGAGGCAGTCTGCTTCCATAAAGATTTGCAGCCTTGAAAACACTCTGGGGGTCTCTGTGCGTCGAAATTGACTCAGTGGTAGTGGGTCTTCAGATACTGCTGTCCTGTTTCCCCCAGCTCCTGTGCTACTAACCAGGGAATATTACTCCAAACACCCGGGTCATCCAGGGCCTTATCCACACCCAATGTTGCATCCAAAGATAAGCCATGAACCCACAACCGTGTCCATCCCCCATCTGCCTTCTACCTCCTTGCTCCCACCTCAGCCCCCACCACAGGTCCCCAACTCTATTACCAAAGTAAATCTCCTGTTCAAAGGTGTTGTCTGTGGAGTAAGCAAACTTTCCAGCTCGGAAATTCACCTGCCGGAAAGAGCTCTGGTTTTGAGACTGGTAGTTGTTCATCTTGCCACTGATGTCCTCAGCAGTCTTATTGTTGCCAGGCACTATTTCAGCTGTCTGCACTTGTGGCAAGTAATTGGGCAATCTTGGTAGAAGTAAGAGAAAGGGAGAAGGGAGGAAGGGTAGAAAATAGACCCCATCCCATCAGATCCATTCCCATCAGATTCACAGGTCACTCCCTCCCCCTTTTCAGTTCAGCTCCTATACACATGAACATTCAGAGAACACTGTACTTAACTATTAGCTTTGCCCCCAGAGTGCCAGATGATTACAGAACTGCCAGAAGGGCCTAGCTACAGCTACCTTCCTTCTCCACTGATGGTACCACCCCTTCTGCAGTTAGTGGACAGCATGATAGAGTGGCCAAGCTCCCAGCATAACCCTTTTTTAACATTGGTACCCTCAGAGATTGCATGCACTTGGGGAAGGGATTCCAACTCCTATGTCATCTCACTTTATCTGTTATGAGTGTGGTTATTTAATGTCTGCCTACCCCAGGAGATGGGAGCGCTGGTGGCGTAGTGCCTAAAGCATTTGACTGCTAACCAGAAGGCTGGTGGTTCAAACCCACCAGCCACTCCTCAGAAGGGAGGTTGGGCAATCTATTTCCATAGTGATACTGCCTTGGAAACCCAAGGAGGGGTTGCTATGAGTCGGATCCAACTTGATGGCAGTGAGTTTGGTTTGGTTTTTTTTTTTTTTTTTTTTGTACCTCAGGAGACAGGCTCCTTAATGGATAGGTCCATGTCTTTCACATTTAGTTTGTATTGCCAGCACTTCATAGAGTACCTGGCAAGTAATGGGAACCCAAAATTTGTATCTGTTCAATGCATGAATAAATATTTTTCTTGATGAATATTTTCAGATTGAGCTTTTGGGAATCAGGAGTATCAAAGCAGCTCTCATCTTTACTCTACTTGCTAATGAGAAAGAAACGGTCTCTGAGAAAAGCTAAGCAATCTATTCTATCAGGTTGTTTAGTTCTCTGCCCTGCTGCTTGTTGGTTTTTAAGTCTATAACATACTGGTTTCTTATTCAAAGTGACACTGGACCAAACCTCAGAGCCACTCAATCTCTCTGCCTTCCTTGCCCTCACCATGGATGCATCTCTAGGAGCCTCTGGCAGTAACTGGATCAGCAGAACAGCTAAGTTGGCTGGGGAAGAAACAATGGATCCCTTTAAGGCAGTAGTTCTCAACTGGGGGCAGTTTTGTTCCCCTAGGGAACATCTGTCAACGTCTAGAGGCATCTGAAGGGTTCTACTGGCATCTAATGGATAGAAGCCAGGGATGCTACTACACATCCTATGATGCGCAGGGCAGCCCCACAACAAGGAGTTATCCAACCCAGGATGTCAGTGGTCCTGAGGTTGAGAAACCCTACTTTAAGGAGATGTCTCAGAGAGCAGGTTGATTGGCAGTGGAGAACCAGTGGGATTGATGGAGAGTGCATTGTAAAATGAGCGTGAGCCCACCCAGGAATGCTTGAAGGGGAGCCAGAGATGCGCAAAGGCAGGCCTGAGGCCTTGGCCAGTCTACCTGTAGTAAACAGGAAGCAGCAGCTCTGGCTTCTGTTTCTTCTCCTGGGGCAGAATGACGCTTTTGTCCTCAAACTCCGCTGCCTCTTCTGCCTCCAGCTTATCCAGGAGCTCCAGGTCACTGGCAGAGGTGAGCTCGTCTCGGATGTGACTCCAGTCATACTGCTGATGCAGGAAGCTTTGCCACTTGTTGGGGGATACCCCAGGCCTCAGAGGACGCTTGTTCGTGATCCACCGTGCTGTGCGCTTGTTCAGCCTTTCCAGCACAAGAGCCTCCCAGGCTCTGGCCTCTTTCTCAGGAGGTGGAAGCCAGGCTTCCCTCTCTCCAAGGTCTACATCTGAAGAAAGATCCACCAGAGATGGTTCCCTGCAGGGACGCAAGATGCGAGGGCGAGGTTTTCCCTGGACTATGCTTGCTGACTTTGATTGCTTCAGCTTCTTTTTAAGATTGGCAGAGGTTTCTGTCTTCACGGCCTGGGAGGTGACCTCTGCCGAGGGACCTGAGGAATCTGAGAACTTGAAGCTGATAGGTTTCTTGGGTCGAGCCTTCCTGAGCCTGGAAGCCTGGATGAGGTGGTCTGCATTGTAGAGGTGATCAAAGCTGTATTGGCTGTAAGGAATGCTGGGCAGCCCTCGCTGCCACACCACCTCCTGAGAGAAGGTAAGGTCTGCAGCGGCTTTTTTCAAATACTGCTTCTTGAGGTGCACACAGTGCTGTGGACTGAAATGGAAGGCAGGAGGCACACTGGAGACTGAGGCACACTCGTCCTTGCTTTTCGGCTTCACGTGGCAGAAGATCATGCCCCATCCCAGCCGTGGGGGCAGTGACTGGCAGAAAGGGTGGGAGAGAAAGGTCTTTCCATTTGGCGTCTGGCTCATATTGTTTCCCAGCAAATCTACCTTCCGCACTGCTGGCCCACGGGCAGGGCCTGGAAGTGTGATCAAGCACCTGTTAAGGGGATGAGAAGAACCAGTGAGAGCCTTCAAAAAACCAAAACCAAAGTCACTGCCATCCAGTGGATTCCAACTCATAGCAACTCCCTTTGGGTTTCTGAGGCAGTAAATCTTTACAGAAGTAGATGCCCAATCTCCGTGCCATGGAGTGGCTAGTAAGTTTGAACCACTAGCCTTCTGGTTAGCAGTCACATGCCTTAGGCACTATGCCACCAGAGTTCCTTAGTGAGAGCCCTAGGGCAGCAGAAATTGGTAGTCCATATCAGTGTGGCTGCCAATTTTTAATTAATTGGAAGATGAATTAATACTACTATTATTAAAATTTACACACCAACCACTATAGTCAAAGACGAAGAAATTGAAAATTTTTTTTTCACTAACTTCTGTAGTCTGAAATTAACCAGACATGCAAACAAGATGTATTGATAATTACTGGTGATTGAAATGTGAAAGTTGGAAACAGAGAAGAAGCATCAGTAGTTGGAAAATAAGACCTTGGTTATAGAAATGACACCAGAGACTACATGATAGGATTTTGCAAGACCAATTACTTACTTATTGCAAATACCTTTTACAACAACATAAACGATGACTATACACATGGACCTCACCAAATGGTGTACATAGGAACCAGTTGGACCACATCTGTGGAAAAAGACCATGGAGAAGCTTAATATCATCAGGCAGAACAAGGCCAGGAACTGACTGTGGAACAGACCATCAATTGCTCATATGCAAGTTCAAGATGAAGCTGAAGAAAATTAAAAGAAGTCCATGAGAGTCAAGATATGATCTTAATTTAGATAAGATCATCTGAAGAATAGAGTTGACACATTAAATACTAATGACCAAAGACTAGAAGAGTTGTGGAATGACATCAAGAACATCATACATGAAGAAAGCAAAAGATAAAAAGATAGGAAAGGAAGACCAAAATGTATGTCAGAAGAGACACTGAAACTTGCTCTTGAATCTTGAATGAAGAATAGCTAAAATAAATGGAAGAAATGTGAAATGAAAGAGCTGAACAGAAGATTTCAAAGAGCAGCTCAAGAAGACAAGTATTATAATGAAATGTGCAAAGACCTGGAGTTAGAAAACCAAAAGGGAAGAACACGCTCAGCATTTTTCAAGCTAAAAGAAGTGAAGAATGAATTTAAGCCTTGAATTGCAATATTGAAGGATTTTATGGGCAAAATATTGAATGATACAGGAAGCATCAAAAGAAGATAGAAGGAATATGCAGAGTTGCTGTACCAAAAAGAATTGGTTGATGTTCAGCTATTTCAGGAAGTAGCATATGATCAAGAGCTGATGATATTCAAGGAAGAAGTCCAAGTTACACTGAAGAAAATGGCAAAAAATAAGGCCCCAGGAATTGACGAATACCCACTGTGGTAGTTAAAGTTGTATGTCAATTTGGCTCGTCCTGGTTGAGTGGCTGGGCAGCTGGTGGTAGTTATTCCCCATGATAAGACTGTCAATCAGCTCCATGGTGGGACCTACCACAAACAGCTGAGTAGCTGCTTTAGGGATGTGGTCTGCTTCCTGTATATAAGAAACAGCTTTGGGAATGATCTCTAGCTTATGGCACACTTGAACCCTGCATGTAGCCATGTTGTTCAACAGCCTGCCGTGCTCTGCCAACCTTGGGACCTTCAATGGACTTGAATTAATGGCCTGCTGTGGTTTGGTAACATCGCGACTGTGCCTTTTCACTTGTCAACCTTGGGCTTGTCAGCCTTAGCAGCCAGCAGCTGTCTGAGTGAAGAAAAGCCTCTAGCTCCAGTGGGCCAGGAGCAGGAGGCAGAGCTGAAGCCCAAGGCTGAGGGGCTTTCACTCAGCCCATAGAGCCTGGCACTTTAAATTTGGACTTAAAACCTCCAAATTGTAAGAATAAACTCCTGTTTGTTAAAGTCATCCCATTTGTGGTATATTCTTGTCAGAGTGGCACTAGGTAACCTGAGATATTGTAACATGGATGCAGCACTGGAAGTGCTTGGACATTTATGCCAAAAATTTGGAAGACAGCTACCTGGCCACTCAACTGGAAGAGATCGATATTTGTGCCCATTCCAAATCAAGGTGATCCAACAAAATGTGGAAATTATCAATCAATATCATAATATCACAAGTAAATTTTGCTGGATATAATTCAAAAACGGTTGCAGCAGGACACTGATAGGGAACTGCCAAAAATTCAAGATGGGTTCAGAAGAGGGCACAGAACCAAGGATATCATGGCTGATGTCAGATGGATCTTGGCTGAAAGCAAAGAATATCAGAAAGATGTTCACCTTTGTTTTATTGACTATGCAAAGACATTCAACTAAGTGGGTCATAACAAATTATGGATAACATTGTAAAGTATGAGAATTCCAGAACACTAATTGTTCTCATGAGAAACCTGTACATAAACCAAGAGGCAGTTGTTCAAACAGAACAAGGGGATATGGAATGGTTTAAAATGAGGAAGGGTATGTGTCAGGGTTGTGTCCTTCCACTATACTTTCAATCTGTATGCTGAGCAAATAATCTGAGAAGCTGGACTGTATGAAGAATGCAGCATCAGGATTGGAGAAAGACTCATTAACAACCTGCAAAATGCAGATGACACAGACTTACTTGCTGAAAGTGAAGATGACTTGAAGCTCTTACTGATGAAGATCAAAGACTACAGCCTTCAGTATGGATTACACCTCAGCATTTAAAAACAAACAAACAAACAAACAAACAAACTCACAACTGGACCAATAAGCAGCATCATGATAAATGGAGAAAAGATGGAAGTTGTCAGGAATTTCATTTTACTTGGATCCACAATCAATGTTTATGGAAGCAGCAGTCAAAAAATCAGATGACATATTGCGCTGGGCAAATCTGCTACAAAAGACTTCTTTAAAATGTTTAAGAGCAAAGATGTTGCTTTGAAGACTAAGGTGTACCTGACCCAAGCCATGGTAGTTTCAGTAGCCTCATATGCCTATGAAATCTGGACAGTGAATAAGGAAGAACAAAGAAGTACTGATGCTTTTGAACTGCAGTGTTGGCAAAGAATACTGAAAATTACCATGAACTGCCAAAAGAACAAACAAATCTGTCCTGAAAGAAGTGCAGCCGGAATGCTCCTAAGAAGCAAGAATGGCCAACCATCATCTCACGTACTTTGGTCATGTTAGAAGGGACCAGTCCCTGGAGAGGGATATCATCCTTGGGAAAGTAGCTGCTGTTGTTAGGTGCCATCAAGTCCTCTGTGACTCAAAGCGAACCTATGTACAGCAGAACGAAATTCTGCCTGGTCCTGGTCCAGCTCTACTATCCCTGCTATACCTGAGCCCATCGTTGTAGCAACTGTGTCAATCCATCTTGTTGAGGCCTTCCCCTCTTCCCCTTCCACTTTACCAAGCATGATATCCTTCTCCAGGGAATGGTCTCTTTTGGGAAAGTAGAGGGTCAGTGAAAAACAGGAAGACCCTCAATGAGATGGATTGGCACAGTGGCTGCAACAATGGGTTTATTTAAGCATAGTAAGGATTGTGAGGATGACCCAGGGCTGGCCTTTGTTTCTTTCTGTTGTATGTACATGGAGTCACTATGATGAGTTGGAGCCAACTCGATGGCACATAACAACAACAACAACTTGGGACTTGGAAGTACCTGATATAAGGTACAAGACATAATTCTTCTGTTAGTTTGTTGTGCTGTGGTGGCTTGGATGTTGATATGAGGCAGGAGGCTGTGACACCAGTATTTCAAATACCAGCAGGGTCACCCATAGTGCATGGGTTTCAGTGGAGCTTCCAGACTAAGACAAACTGGGAAGAAGGACAGAGCCATCCACTTCTGAAAAAATTGGCCAGTGAAACCCTTATGAATAGCTTTTCAATAGTATTCCACTTTGGCAATTTCTCTTCAAATGTTGTTTTCTCTCCATTCAAAAGTCTTACAGCAAAAAGTTCAGACAATTTAGCCTGACATGGAACCTCTGCTTGAACCAGATGAGTCTCCCAGCTGTTCTCTGAATATTCCTCCTCCACATAGTAGTGGTTCCTTCTGTATGCCCTACATAAAATAGCCTTTGTTTCATACTTGACACAAATCCTATCCATTCTTCCAGGCCCAGCTCAGTACCTGCTTGCTCTGAGAAGTCTTTCCTGATCAATCTTGGATAATATGACAAGAATTCATAAACCATTCTTGCTCCATACCACTTATTTTTAACTTTTAATCTCACGAGACCTCACAGAGTTAATATTTGGCTAAGTAGATTGCACAAGGATCACTTTTCCTTTCTCTTTTTTTTTTGTTTAATTTTTTTTTTTTAAATTGTGATTTGGGTGAAAGGTTACAGAGTAAATTCACTTTCCATACAGCAGTTCACATACACTTTGTCTCATGACATTGACAATAGTTGACCACAATGAAACAGCTCCCCTTCCACTTCCTCTCCATAGTTACCTCTTCTCTGTGTCCTTCCCTCCATGCACTCCTGCCCCCTGAGCTATGTCCCTGTCCACAGCCCTTCTATTCTCCCATGATTGATCTCTCCAAGGAGTGTATCTACCTAGTGTAAATGTTCACCTCATATGCCTGTCTTTTGTTTGAGTAGAAGCCACAGGAGTGGGTTCAATTCCAGACCTGAAGGGCAGCTAGGGGCCATAGTCTCAGTGGTCCTATCAGGTTCTATCAGACCAGCAAACCTGGTCCCCCCCC